GCACTTCCAACCGTAGAGTCGATCTATAACTTTTCAACACAAATTCATATATATATATACTGATTCGTGTGCGAATATGGAAATAAAAGTAAAACTTTTTTAACCGAGTTTCTGAAGCAAAAATTTTACTTGTGTCATTTTACAAATAATATTTTTAAGTATATTTGATTTTTACACACACACACACACAAAATATATATATATATATATATATATATATATATATATATATACATATATATTTGTGTATTTAGACAGCAATCCTTCTTTCATGCACATTTCATTGAATACGACAGTCAAGATGCTTTTATTTAGTCTTTTATACAATTTCTCATGCGATCTAATATTTTTTTTTTCTTTTCAGATGATAAATTACATAAAAACTGTCCGAATGTTCTTTTTTCCGAGCGCTTTCGGTTATGCATTTATCCATTTTCAAGGATAAAATATTTTAATTGTTAAATAAGAAATACTTTATTGTATGTATGTTCTATGAAATGTTTTCATTTCTTTCAAAACACAGTCAAGGTATTGTGTCCATGTTCAAAGTTAATATTATTAAGTGTTTTTTTTTTCTTTTTTATTAATAAGGCTTCCATTATTTTTAGCCTTTTTTTTTGTTTGCATCTCGTTTTCATTGAAACTCTGAATTAAAAACCTGCGGGGCGGGGACGTTTGTATTCGGCACTTCAAAAACTGTGGATGGTTCTGCACAAATCCTTCACCACTATAATCAAAGCTTATGTGCTGGTGTCGGGCTTTCAGTTTCCTAGGAACTGATCTGCTTGACTCTCATACGTCGAATTCGACGGGAGAGCCGTAAGTATATATATATATATATATATATATATATATATATATATATGAAAAGTGTATATAAATATAAATAAATATATATATGTATAATTATTTATATATTATATGCGCGGTATTTTATTAGAAAGCGCTCAATATCAGAGATAGAGCTAACATATCTATCAACCAAATATATATATATATATATATATATATATATATATATATATATATATATATATATATATATATATATATGGTGGATAAAGAACACATAGAAAACGTTTATAAATGTAATATGTTTAGCTAATATAAGGAAAATGAGATAAAGAGAAAACAATTATGGTCTATCAAAAAGTTTCCGTGTGTCTAATTCCGGTGTGTAGGTGTATACTAATTCTAGTGCGTCTATTCGCAGTGCAAATGATGTATATTCGTTTGTATGTGCATCTGTGTATCTGCGTTTGCTTGTGTGTATGCGCCTGAGTTTGTGTGCCCCCCTGTGGGTATGTGCTTATAAGGCATTTTTGTTTATATGTTTGGTGGTTGTCTGCATGTTGATTTGGTGAAGTTTTGTGTGAGGTTAGAAAAAATTATGTAACACCAGTTGTAGGAATAAAAGTTGGTGATGTAATATACTGTGTTTTTCGTGTGTTTATAGATAGTAAAATATTTATGGGAATTCCCAACAAGTATTTCACGCGTAAAGGATTATCTTCTCTTTTTTTTTTCAATTAACTAAGGTGGCCTTTATAAAATCAAAGTTTTGCTCATGTGTATTACAAGCGAGTTTAAATAGTTGTCCATGCGTAGGTCTCTCTTTTGTTCTTAGATGTCTCGCTAATGTAAATGTTTCGACATTGTAGGAATTTTTTTTATCATAAATAGCGACATCTGATATGTCGTTGGATCTATATTTCTTTCGAACTATATATCCGTTTATCTTGGAGGTGGTCATAAAAACTGTATTTTAATTTCCCATTTTCTGTGAGTTGGAGGGGAAGATTATTGAATCTATGTTTTTTTTTTTTTATTTTATGTCAGAAGTTCCATCGGCGATGCCTACATTCAAAATAGTCAGGAAGAAAATCAGCTAATCATCAGCAATATTAGCGGCCCTGATATAGAACTTCGGTTTCAATCACTTCCCAACCGCCTTAACGCAGATTCTTTTTGTCTTTCCTTCAGATATTGTTATCGTAATTGTTCTGATGGAATTTATTCCTTGGGATCCCGGCTTCACGAATTGAAATGTATTAGATTGTCAGCTAGGTCTCATCCTTACGCTGTTGAAACATCTCGATGTAGCCGTAAGTTCTACTCCTATATTTTCTTCACTCGAATTTCTCGCCTATGGAATTTTCTTCTTGCTCATTGTTTTTCTGTCAACTAAAATCTTTCTTTTTATACTGCAGTTTCCATTTCTGAATCTTACTTTATATTTCTGACTTTAAAATCTGGCACTATTTAAAACCGTCTTTACACGTAGCGAAATATTTTCACCACATTTAACCATTCTTATCCAAATCCTATTTAGAAAATCTGTTTTCGGCACTCCATTACTCGGCATATCATTAACATAAGTTGCCTTATTTGAGTCTATATACCTAGGTTTCTCTCATCAATTTTTTTTCTTCAGCATATGGGATAAAATTATATTAAGAAAATGTAGAATATCAAAAGTATATAATAGGGATATTTTAAAAAAAAACTAAACATTCTGTGCATTAGTTCATCACTGTAATTTTTAATTAAATTGAAAACAATTTACGAAGACGAGGGTTTATAGAAAGGGCTTTAATTGCTAGATCACTTACAGTAAATTTTACGTTTATTTTCTTAAAATATTTCACCTTTCTTGGGAGAACTATTAACATGCGAGATAGTTAATAACAAAAGTAATAAACACAAACGAAAACGAATAAAAGGATCTAGACGAAATGGGCTTTGATTCCATGACGAGTTTCTCACTGGTTCCCCGATTGTATGTATTTAAGCATTTCGGTGCGACACTTTTTAATGTCGAAATAGTTAAATATAACCGCCTCTTCTACTCCAACAGCTTCTTCTATAACACTTCCTGACAGGGGAATTCCCTTCCTCTTACTTGCTTCCTTGATAACTATAATCTTCAAATATATAAATGTAATGTCAATCGACACGCCTTGGTGACTTGATCCCCGTTCTTCTTTTTTATCCTTTCCTCAATCCCACCGCCTCATACGCAGTTTTTCCCTTTACTTATACTCGCTGTAGCCACTTGTGTACTAGTGGCACTCCCGCCTTGCTTGGAGTGAAATACTTAAAATAATTGACCAATAAATAACAATAATATAAATTTTGACGTTGTATTCGACTTGTTAGTTTTTTTTTTAATTTTCTTCTTTGTTATTGGCAGCATTTTAGGCTATTTTGGCTGCAATGCTAAACTTTCTAAGTTCAACGAACTGGGTCTATTTCGTTTACGCTTTGTTACCTCTCTTTTCTATTGTTGTTTTTAAGATTGATTTCTACCCAGTCATTTTGATGGACAACAGCGAAATTCTGAAATTTAGAATGACCTTATTCCATTTCAAAAATAAAGCCTGTAAAAAGGAATATTTTAATTTTATATACGACCAAAAATAAAATGCTTTTGACAAAAAAACCTTAATGATTTCGCTATATTCTCTATCTATAAAAGGCAAGATGTGTATGTGTGTGCGTATAACGAATGCACGGCCGCAATTTTCGACGGATTTGCACCAAAATTTATGTGCACATGCGCCAAGTTAGCGGGAAGGCCAAGACCGACTTTGCATTTCCAAACTTCCATCGATAGTGGAAATAATCGATTTTTTCATGCTTCTACGGCAGTTTTCACGTAGTTTGCAGTCATTTTCTACTGACCAGAGTGAGAGCCACGAATAGACAGGAAGATTCTATTGGCCAGCGTGAGAGCCAACAGCTGACAACACGAATATTAACTAGCATGCTAGCATGCAAAAAATCGATAGCTGCATTCGTCACAAGTGGGAAAAATTTAAATCTGCATGGCACATTACTCCAATTGGCTCATTCGCTTGCTTAAACTCAACGTTGATTCTGATTCCGCAGAACTGGGTTGGGTGTGAAAAAGTATTTGTTGTTAACATTCTTTTTTCATTCGGTGTTTCCAGTTACGACTCCTTTTTTAAAGCTGATCGTTTTGTGTTCATTTTGTTTAGTTCTTTTTTCATAACAGATTTAATGTTTAGTATAGAGCTTAGAAAAAATTCGCTGTGTAACATAGGCAAGAAGTAAGGCATGTAGCAACATCAGCATGGCAAAGGGCTCTCCTTTAAAGGCAAGAAAGGGCAAAAATGTTCTAAGTCAAGTGATAGCGATTGCTGTATGAGTCGTACGATTTTTGAATCAAGCACGGGCAACGCCGGGCCATGCTGCTAGTTATGTAATAATAATGTAATGATGTTCCGCAGACAAATCTACGGTTTATGTTACCTCATCTCATTGCATGGTTACGGACTATAAACCTAAATTGAGCTTGAAATATTGTGGAATCGGCGCTAATTATTTGTAAAATGCTTGGATATGATTTAATGAATAATTTGCAGTGAAAATAGCAATTTTCGATTTTTTTTATTGTGCTTTTGTTTTGTTTGTGTATATGACGCGTTGGGCGTTATATATCCAAACACATTAAAAAAAAAATGAAAGTTTAAAATTTCAGTTCGTTCGTATGTATAGTTTCATCAATGACGACAATACTTTAGTTTCATGAAGTCATAAAGAACAAAACGCGTCAGGTAAAATGATTTCTCCCACATCGTCATTAATTTTCCTGAGACTATATATTATCAGTTGACGGAAATAGTGTATCATTGTCGTGTGCTAAGTAACATCTTGCAACTTGGCGTGTATTCCATGTTCAACTTTAGTTTAGGTTACCTATGATTTTCAATCAGACTAAATTAAGGTTTCTCAATAACTCAGTTTCTGTGTGACTCCCCTTGATAGTAAGCCTGTCTCGCGGACTAGTCAGGAATTGTTTGTTTAGTCGTTTCAGTCCAATCAAAGTGAAAATGCCAATAGGTCGCAGCAGATTACAGCGTGTGAAAGAAAATGAGAAGAGATTAGTGAGGCGATCCGAGGAAAGGGCAGTAAAGAAACAAGTTTCATCGAGACAGATGGGGTTAGGTGCCAGGGAAGATGGGACTACGTGGCAGATGGCAGGGAAGATGAAGTTAGGTGCCAGGGAAGATGGAGTTACGTGGCAGATGGCAGGGAAGATGAGGTTAGGCGGTAGGAGTCTGGTGGCAGGGACGGTATAAATCGGAAAGGATTTTCAATAGGTGAGAAGTGCAAGGAAAGAAACGGTTAGACTATAGGTGTGTGTTGCATCTAGTTGGTTCAACAGTGAGACCTAACTGCCAAACTAGCAACCCGGTTGAATTCACGCAGTCAAAGCACTAGGGTAAAGAAAGATCATCACTGGGACGTCATCAAATGCATGGTGTGAAATTTGACAGAGGTCCAGATGACAGTTTAAGATTTGTATCACATAGACTTTGAATTTTGTCAAAAACCTCGAGATTTCATCCAACTATACTTAAATGTAAGATTTTACAAAAAATTTATAAACATGTGTTGAGAGCATTATATCAAATATCAAAATATTTAAAATGTTGCAAACTTATTATTATTTAATACGAATGCAATTTAAATTAAATTTAAATATATAATTAGCAAAGGCAAATGATTTCTATGATTTGTTATTTAAATTAGGTCGATTATTAGAGCTACCATTGTTTTCATCTGCCTAGCATCCATTAAGTCATATCCTGCAACAAATTCCAATATTTATAGAAAAGACAGAGGGAGGCCACGTCACGTTGGTGAGAAAGTGACTGAAGTCGGGTTGCCAATTTAAGATCAACTATGTTACAGGCGCTTCTTTGAATCGTGTCAAGAATTTATGGATATACAACAAGAGCTCCAGACAGGATATATCGCAGCTGTATCCAGTGCACGGTCGTATAGTGACTTCTATCTACACTTACATCAATAACAAAGGCAAACAAATACCAGTTTGAAAAATGATGATTTTGAATTAATGTCTACTGAACAATCAATTATACAATAGAGTTATATTTATTGCCCACAGCGTTATTATGGCGTATACTCCTATTTGAAAATAGATGTCGTGTTTTGTTTTTTGTTTTTTTTTTTTAAATAGACGGCTTGTTTCAAATACGAGTGACAACTATAATAATCTTCGAAGTAATAAAAAATGTCGGCTTAAAAATTTTAAAGAAGTTGCTTAGCTTACCCATCGCATACGAAACTGAGAAAATATGGACTTTCGAGACAAAGCCTCACTATGAGGACGTGAGCTTTAATTAAAGGGGGAAATATAGACGGTGTAGTGTGACGCTCTCTGTAGACGAGAGGTAAAGCACGCTGATTTAACCGGGTCGGAGCGCACTTAAGATTTCTCGAACACGCACGCCGATAGACGTAATACACCCTGTTTAAAATAAATTTTAAAAAATGTGGCATCTATTTCAAATAGCAGTACCCACTATAACAACTTTTGAAGTAATGAAGATGCGGCATTAAAATAAATCCATTTATATATATATATATATATATATATATATATATATATATATATATATATATATATATATATATGGCGATTCGAGGATCGGGCTTGTCGGGTTTAGCCTGAGTGAGTTATTATACAAGTATGTCTATTCGTAGTGCGTCCATTTCATTATTGACTATTGCCTTCAGCTGGATACGAAATTAAAATATTTATCAAAATACATTTCGTTGATATTGTTCATAGTAATGAAGAAAGAAGAAACAAAGAATGAAATTAAGTAAAAAAAAAAGAGTGAAATAAAACTGACGTGGCTTGTTGGGCTGCGTAGATCTGAGCCTTATCGAAGCTGGAGACATACTTAATAGGCAATGTATTTCATACTTTAATTTTATACATAATCTTTTAAAAATCTCTAATGACTTGTATATATATTGTGTGTGTATTTATGCAGCATTTTTTCATTAATTCATGTTTCATTGAATAATATAGACAAGTTTTGTCTATTTATTTTATGTAAATTCTTTTCATATCGTCCGATAAGCTTAATAACATTATCATTAAAATGCGAAAGAACTATATTGATACATATTTTTTTAATCCTATCTAAGCTTACATGAGCCATTATCAAAGTTGACAATTACAGTACAATATATTAAACAATACACGGACAAAACAACAACATATATATATATATATATATATATATATATATATATATATATATACAAAAAGTGGCGGGTGGAGAAATATTTGTCCACCATGAATATTTTTATTTAACATAGATTTTATAAAAAAAAATTATAATTCATACTGTATTTGTATACCATGGCATAATGCAGCAATATGCAAAAAAATCAGAAAAAATTGTTATATTAATGTTGTGGTAGGATCCACCTAATTTGCATAGTGGAGTACCGACCATATAAATATTGTTGGTACCGGGAAGAGAGGGAGGAATCAAGAGATTCAACCAGAGACTCTGCCCGACTGCGACTCAGTCAACACATTCTCCAGGAACGGTCTTACCAGGAATAGACAAAAGACTATATGTAAATATTGTGTACACTTTCTTGTTTCAATACATTTTGTTCTAAGTAGATTTTGTGTTGCATTATTATTCCATGCATTAGTCAAGTTTCAACAATTAATGAAATTAAAAATATGAAGACGAAAAAGTATTCGTACAAAATTATAATACTTATTTAATACTTTGCAGCATATCCTTTATTCAATTCAGTAGCAATCAGTCTCTTTCTGTAGCTTCTAATCAATGATTTGCAAGTTTTATGTTGATATTTTGCTCCATTCTTCTTTGCATATTCTTTTTAGGTCCAGGATGTTTTTCAGAGCTCTTTTATTAACTTGAATTTTTAATAAACGCCACAATTTCTCTATTCGATTCAAGTCTGGAGACTGTGCGGCCATTCAAGTGTATTGACATTGTTTTCAATAAGCCATTTGTTTCGTAGATTTCGCCATATGTCTAGGGGCATTGTCTTGTTGCAAATCCCATTCATTTGGAAGTCTAAGCTTTACTACTGACCCAAACAAATTAGAGTCTAAAAATACTGGTTTATTTTTTAATTCATTCTAGCTTCCATTATCTCTAAATTACCGGTAATATTAGCAGAAAAAAACATCCTGAAAGAATGATATTGCCAAAAGCAAATTTCAGCGTTGCGATTATGTTCTTCAGTGCAAATGCTGTGCTGTCTTTTCTCCAAACGTAATTTAGTGAAATCTAATTCAATAAATTACGTTTGGAGAAAAGAGAGCACAGTTCAATTTTTGCTTCACCTGCCAATAAAACACTTTCTCAAAATGATTCATAAGCTCACAAACAATTCTTTTAACCGGGCATTCCTATGTTTTTTCATGAGTTTTTCTTGGAGAACTCGATCTTACTTGACTTCTGTTCATTGTTTATTGTTCGCTTCGTAGCAATAATCCCTGATGCTTTTAATTCTTCCTGAATTTCTCTCCGAGTATTGATTGGATTTTCTTGAATTTTACGCCGAATTCTTCTCATTGATCTGGGAGAAATCTTGCCTGGTGGACCAGATCTTGATTTGTTCTCAACAGCTTTCACCTTTCTTATACTTAGAAATAACGGAATTAATGGTATATTCAAGATATATGCTATATTCAAGATATATGCTATATTCATACAGCTTTTGCCTTCCTTCCAATGTTTGGTGATCAATCCTATTTACGAATTTGATAGTTATGCCCCTTTTCACCATGTTGATAATTATTGTCTATGATTTGTGCGTGGAGATAACCGTATATAATAAATGAATTGCGGGATGTTCTAGATTGTTCCGGTAATAATTGGAAGAATCTAACAAAATCCTACAAAAAATTATGCAAATAAAAGCAATTTAAACCTTTTGATATGAAAGATATATCAGGTCATCCCATAACTTCTGTCCGAATTTTAACTTTTTGTTAAAATGAACGAAATTTAAAGAGTATTTTATAATGTCTAATGGAGCTGAACATGATTTTTATGTTTAGATGCATTTAAACTGATCAAATTTTATTTCAGAGATCAATAAAATTAAATTTTGTTTGATTAAAACCCTGCTAACATGAAAGTACCCAAGAATCATTTGAGGCACATAATGCCTTATGAGTTCAAGAAAGGAAACCCAGCAGCCGAAGCGGCTAGAAACATTCACTAGAATGTGTGAATGAAAGAACTTGCAGAAGATAGTTTGCAAAATTCAGAGGTGGAGATTTTATCCTTGAAGATGAAGATCGAACCGGACGCCCAGTTGAGTTTGATGAAAAGCTTCTTGAAGCAGCCCTTGAAGAAAATCCTGCTTTATCAGTTGAGGAATTGGCAGTGGTTCTCAGTTCAAACCATACAACTGTTCATCGACATCTTCAATAACTTGGAAAAGTTCCTAAACTTGGAAAATGGGTGCCTCATGAATTGTTTGAAAACAACCTCAAATCCCGAGTTGACATCTGCTCTTCTCTCCATTCTCGCCAACTTGTTTCACCTTTTTTGGATAGACTTGTGACTGGCGACGAAAAATGGATCTTTTATCGAAATGTTAAGCGTCGTAGACAGTGGCTTGGTAAAGGGGAAGGACCCCAGCCACAGCCGAGAAGGGAACTTCATGGGCAAAAGGTTCTTCTTTCAATCTGGTGGGATAGCCAAGGAATAATACACTTTGAATTCTTACCACCTAATGCAACAACTAATGCTCAAATATACTCCCAGCAATTAGAGCGTTTGAACCAAGCTTTGAGGAAAAAAAAGACCTGCTCTAATGATTCGAAAAGAGGTGATGTTTCGACCCCACACAGCAAGAATCACGTCACAAAAGATCGAAGAACTTGGTTGGGAGAAAATTCCTCATCCACCTTATTCTCCCGATCTTGCTCCTTCAGACTACCATTTGTTTCGTAGCTTACAGAATCATTTGGAAGAAACAGTTTTTGTAACACAAGAAGAGGTTAAAACTGACATTTGTGTGTTCTTCGAATCAAAGCCAAAAGAATTTTACAATAATGGAATTAGAAAGCTTGTTAATACATTGAAGGAAGTCACAGATAATCAGGGAAAATACATTGTTGATTGAATCTGTAATTAAATGTAACATTTGGTCAGTTGTTTTCTTTATACAAAATTCGGACAGAACTTATGGGATGACCTGATATTTTGCATCAATACTTTTTTCTCCTCGAAACTTTATAACACCGCATAATTTTATGAATAACAACGTTTTCTTGTTGCTTTTTGCGTATTGCAGCATTAAGCAATGGTTTAAAGATATTGGATAGTTTATAAGTTTTTTTCATAGTTATAACTATGTTAAATAAAAAATTCGTGGTGTACGAATATTTATTTTCCCTCACCGTATATATAGAAATATATGTATACATTATATATATATATATATATATATATATATATATATATATATATATATATATATATATTATAAATTGATTTATTTAGAATGTTTTTTTTTCGCTACACAGTTCTGAAATTTACATTGAGCACTATTTTGTAAAAATAAAATATCTATAAGAACACCGGATTATATATCTTTTTTTTTCTTTATTTATATATATATATATATATATATATATATATATATATATATATATATATATATATATATACGTGTGTGTGTGTGCATGAGTGTTCCAATTGCTGTTCGGTTCCATATACTCATGTATACGCAAATAGTGTTGGGGCGGGGTATGAATCTATATATTTTCCCCAAGCTAAGGGTTAATTAATTAAACTTGTATCTCTGAAACATTTATTATCTTACAAAAAAATTGCACATAAAATATTTATATTTCGATATAAGCCATTGAGATGTTGATGCGCCGCTAAACAAAACAAAAAAGAAATCTACAAACCAACTTGGATAATTCAGATTCAGTTCGAATCATAAATTTAACGTCGGGTACTACGAATGAGTTAATCCTTCTCTTTCTCTCTCTCTCTCTCTCTCTCTCTCTCTCTCTCTCTCTCTCTCTCTGTATCTCTCTCTCTCTCCGTTTCTCACTCTGTATGTTTCTCTCTATATATCTTTCTCTCTGCATATCTCTGTATGTTTCTCTCTCTCTCTCTCTCTCTCTCTCTCTCTATATATATATATATATATATATATATATATATATATATCTGTAACTCTCTCTCTGTATATCTGTAACTCTCTATCCCTATGTATCTATCTCTCTGTATATCTCTTTGTATGTTTCTCTATATATATATCTCACTCTGTATTTCTCTATCTTTGTATCTATCTCTCTGTAATTCCCTTTCTATATTTCTCTCAGTCTCTTTCTCTCTCTCTCTCTGTATCTTCCTCTGTATTTTTCTCTCTGTCTCTGTCTCTCTCTCTCTCTCTGTCTGTAAGTCTGTCTATCTCTCTCTCTGTCTCTCTGTCTCTCTCTGTCTCTCTGTCTCTCTCTGTCTGTCTCTCTCTCTCTCGAACATGTGAACACTCGAGACCTTTGACCCGTTCTGCTAGTGTTGCTGCTGCCTTCAAGCACTGGCTTATAAGGAGAATCAAATATCTTCTTTAACTTCGCATGTTTTCTCGAGATGAGAAATGCCTATGGTTATGTGTCATAGAGCTATCTGTTAACACTTAACGACTTCTCAGGAAAAGAAACAGAGTGAACACGAACAACACGATTTAATTGAGTTTTTAGCAACCATCCCGATTTTGTAAGTGTTATATATATATATATATATATATATATATATATATATATATATATATAGTCTTTAAATTGTTAGGTCGACTGGAATTCCAGTCAAGTTTGTTAGATTCACTTACACACAAATAACGTAGGGAAAGTTATAAATCTTTTCTCCCTCCAGCTATGGATTGAATAGCAGGACAATCTGGTTTCTTTAGTCTTGATTGGCAGTCAGTCTACCGCAGAAAGAAATAGCAACCTACTGCAGGAAAAAAACATCTGCCTCGTCAGTCATGTATCAAAAGATACATAATTGCCTAAGCGTGTATCACTGAATGATGATGCGATATATATATTCCTGCTAAATGTACCGCTCCATTAAGTACCTGACTCCTCAGGCTACCTTTACAAAATAAATAAATACATAAATAAAAAAAACAAAAACAGATCAGGTTAAAAATCTACTGCTCTCATATACGAGTTGGTGCTGATCTGTCTTCGCTTTCCAGTCTCGAAATAATCTAAAAAGCATCTTCTCGTCCTTTGGGGTGACAAATTACTTTCCACCTTACAACACCTTTCTCAAGGACGAAACGTCGCTGACATTATTTCCATGGAAAGTGCTCAGAAGAAGTACATCCATTTGTTCCACAGGTCCTTCACGGCTAAGACCTTCTTTGCCGCATACATTGTAACAAGCCACACTCATTCCCTTCGACTTCGATTGGATGTTCCACTATAGCTGCACACGAATCGCTGTTCTATTGTGAAGCTGACTCCCAAGACGATGCTCCCCCGATCAATGCAATCTTAACCTGTTCAAGTTTAGTTTTTAACCATTATCCTCCGTACGTATCCCCATAAAATCTGCCTCTTTGTAACGCTCTACCTCGAGTGCCCACCGAACCTTGGAAAGGTTCTGTGGCCGCTCGATATATATATATATATATATATATATATATATATGTGAAAAGTGAATATAAATATAAATAAATATATATATATGTATAATTATTTATATATTATATGCGCGGTACTTATTAGAAAGCGCTCAAGGGTTTGTCTGACGATCGCTAAAAAGCGTGAAACCCAGGGTCACAAACTCACATCTATCAACAAAATATATATATATATATATATATATATATATATATATAGAGAGAGAGATAGATAGGGCGATGTACTGAAAAGTAAAATTGGCCCATATATATATATATATATATATATATATATATATATATATATATATATATATATAATATATTATGTCATTCGCAGACAGTACTGTTTCGCTCTATCACAGTTCCTCAATGCGACTATCCGAATGTCTCAAACCAGGATCGAAACCCAAAGGATTTGGTATCGGTCAGAGATATATCGCTAATTTTATATATCTATCTATCAAACTATGTGTGTGTGCGCGTGTGTGTGCGCGCGCATGTGTGTTTGTGTGCGTGTGTAATACATAAAAGGTTTAGGGTCGGAATTGAACCAGACCAGGAAACGGTAAATAAAGAAACTGTAAATATATAACATGTAGTGCTTTTAACTTTAAATTGATAAAATATCGCCTGAGGATACCGTAAGGTTGAAACCAATGTAGCGGATTCAACTGATCTCCTGGTTTTTTAAAATATATATATATATATATATATATATATATATATATATATATATATATATATATCGGATATAACAGTAAAATTGCCCAAATCGTTTAACAGAATGGGATAATTTTCCATCTATAATCATTGCTAACATACAACTGTTCAAAGCTTAATCTAACAATTGGACAATTTTGTTGTTACACGATCTGGACAATTTTGATGTTACACCTTGTAAATAATCGTGAGTGTGTTTGTAGGCGTGCGTGTTAAGATAATAATTTTCAGTGCATTTATTCACTTAGGCACACAGTTATACCCACTTTCTTATCGTTAGATCATTAAATCCCTCTCTAATTCCGGAAGATAACGGATATTGCAGGGGTAGCAGTGGATTAAATCAGGACTTCCGATTCAAATTTATGAGCACACTGTCATTTTATAATTGATTACACACCATTGATGGGTGGTAAGCAGCATCTTTAGGAATAAATATTTGCCTAATGTATAGTGTCTTTCCTGGATTTTATTTGAAGTATATATACATATATATATATATATATATATATATATATATATATATATATATATATTATATTTACAACCAAAAACGTTTATGGTTTTCTCTTCTTTAAAATATATATATATATATATATATATATATATATATATATATATATATATATATATATATATATATATATATATATATATATTTCTCTTCTTTTAAATATATATATATATATATATTTATATATATATATATATATATATATATATATATATATATATATATATAAAAAAAGAGAGAAACCGCAAACACAAGATATATATATATTTTTTAAAAAAGATCCACATTGCAACCAAAAACGCTTGCGGTTTCTATTTTTATTATACACACTTTTCCCTTTGTTGGAAATACTATAACCTTTTCTTTCTATATATATATATATATATATATAAAAGAAGAGAGAAACCGCAAACCTTTTTCGTTGTAATGTGGTTAAAAATACAGAGAGCTAAGGAGGTGAATATCGTCTCTGATGTAGCTTTTAATCTGCTTAGAAAATGGGTGTAATATTGTGTCTATTAGGTTACTGAGTTTGCTAGTTCGGCTGTAGTTCCTGCTACGGTGGAGCAGTGGATAGCGGCTTGGATTGAGGAATCGCAGAGCCGAGTTCGATTTCCAGTCGAATCCATTACATTCACTTACGTGCTAATACCGTTCATTTCCCTCCAGCTATGGGTAAAATAGCAGGACAGACTGGGTTCTATAGCCTTGGATTGCAACTGGTCTAGGAGAAGGACAACTCTGAATTCAAAACCTGCGGAGGGTCGTTTGGGAACCTTGTGGCATGCATTCGGTGCACCAGGTTTCTGTATTCGTCCCTCCAAAAAGTGTGGCTGGCCCTGCACGAGGCCTTCACCACTATAAACAAATCTCATGTGCCGGTGTCGGGATGTCGGTTTCCTGGGGACTTATCGGCCTGAGCCTCATACGTCGAACGCGACGGGAGAGTCGATTATATATATATGTGTGTGTGTGTGCGTGCATGTGTATACTGATTCCTTATAATAAGAAGGTATGTATGTATGTATGGTGAGGGTATATACATATACATATGCATGCTAACAAAAAAAAATGGAAATAGATCGAAGAACAAACAGGAGTCATTAAAAGATAAGAATCCAGATATCTTTCTCAACTTTTCTCACACCAATCTAAAATAGTTTTATTGCTCTTCACGCAGAACGTTTTCACTGCCAGTTCAAGGAAGACATCTGGGTCACTAGCACACAAAAAGAGAATGTCTAATATCGAGAATATTTAATATCGAAAAATATAAGAAAAATTAATTTGTTTTTATAATCTGTGGAAATATCCCATCTTTGCCTGATGAATGTCGAGAGACTGGAACCCCGTGTAGCAAAACTGTGGAAAATAAAGCAAGATATATATATATATTTTTAAAAAAGTTCCACATTGCAACCAAAAACGCTTGCGGTTTCTCTCTTCTTTTTATTATACACACTTTTCCCTTTGTTGGAAATACTATAACCTTTCCCTTTATATATATATATATATATATATATATATATATATATATATATATATATTTAATTCAATGTATACTTGAAATTAACAAAATAAAATCAGTGAATTTTCAAACATCTCAAAATCAAACGCGGTTTTTGCAGAAACAAACTCGAGGTAATTCATATAGAAGAAATTTTGTCTCTCATTCTCTGTCACGTGACTTTATCGTTTTATTAAGCAAACGATACAAACTGAAGATTAGATGAGATAAAATATCGTTTATTAATAAGGGGAGAATTTACTCTGTGAAATATATTTAAAAGCAAAGTGAAAATTCTTCTTTAAGTCACCCGTCAACAGGAAGATAATACATCTCCTCTTGAGGCGGTGCTGATAAGCGACTATTCTTTAAATGCGGAGTAAAATTAATGATGCAAATTTTCAAACGGGATATTATATTAATCTTAGTTGTTATACTGACCACATTTTAGCAGGCATACACTCCAGCCGTTTCAGGTGGTTGCCACACTTGGTAAGCTTCTCGGAATCTTGTAACTAGCATTATATTCAATCGTCGAGGGTAAATGGTTTTCTTCCTGCTGGAACGCCGATGTATAATTGTGGGATCTTCCACAACAAACCAGCTTTACCTCTTTTTAGGAAATGCACTCTTCCTATCTGGTACGTAACATCCTACTTTCATACAAAATATTAACAAGTATTCATTGGTCAATCACCTCCAATCTAGCTTGCTGATTAGTCAGTTCCGACCAATCAAACCGCCTGCACGCGACCAATCTGTTTTTCCCGAGTTCTCCGTTTGAGCCTCCCACGTGGTACATGGCCATTATATAAACCGAATGCGTGTGAACTTTCTGAGTAGTTTTTCTTTTCATTCATCTCTCTCGCACGTCTCATTCCTTGCTATCAAGTGCCAAGATGAAACCTTCAGGAACTCCCATCTTAGTCATTGCTGGCCAGACGTTAAAGACAATTACCAACATTCACGAACTCTGAAATCATTCCTGAACTTTTACCAACTTTGCAACTCACAATTCCAAACTTTATTCGTCTAAATTACTGTTTAATATTACTTCTTAATATGAACTCCGGTACAACTAATACCTAATCAAAGGGACACGACTCTGT